TTTTTTTTTTTTTTTTTGTGGTCGATGCACCTTGATTATTTTTACTCCATTATGAAGGGGTATTAGGGTTGTATGGATTGAGAGTGGAGTAGACGCTTGAGAGGTGATAGAAATTGGTTGGAAGTTGATGTGGATGGGGTAGCCCTATGAGAGGTTGAGGGAGAGTTTCTAGGATTGTTGGGAGTAGAAGGGAGTGTCTAGGGTTGGGGAGACGTGATATAAATGTGAAGAGGAGGAATAGGGAAATTAATGAAGCACATAATATACAAAAATTGAACTCAACTAAGTCCAAAGTTAAATCAACCACCAACCTTCTCCTAAGGGATTAGCAACAAGCAATTTCAAAGTTAATTCTATAATTTTAAAAGAGAGTATATGATTATCCTTTTATAAGCAAGAACCATGAAAATTACATCACCTATTCAGCCGGGCCAAATCTGGAAGTGTTGTTTTTCCAATTTGCATGCGTTCACGTTGTCCATGATTGGAATGATCAAAAGATAACCTGGAGGGAGTTTTATCTTGTTTTCGCACTCTTTATATGTGCTTTAAAATTGTATGGGCCAACCATTCCTTGTAAGGAAGTTAGTGTTCTCGTAGAATGAGTGCCTGGTTGAATTCGAAGAGGAAGGGCCAACCAAGTTTTATCGTGCTTCCATGCTTTGAGATTTGGGGTGTTGATGATGTGATTTAGAATGTTAATGCAATGCTCTAATTCTTGTTCTGATCTCATGTTTGTTCTATATGGATCTCGGTGCTCTTACAGATTTATGGTCATCATGCTCTCCCTCCCTCTTCCTCCCCTTGAATAGGAAATGTTTTGCTTCAACAACAGTGAAGTTACAAACCTTTAAAAGTGATGCCAATACAACCGTTAATTATTATGTTGTAGCTCTCCAAAAGGCCACTGGTTCTATACTGATTTTCACATGTGATATTTTGTACTTCTATCCTTTGTTCATTAACGCGTCTACAGATTGTCACTGTGACTGTTCATTAAATCATTTTAATATGACCAGCACGGATTATTATCTGGTTAAAGGGTATTGCCACTGTCATCTGTTAAATTGGTTTCCTATCAATTTTAAGAATTTATTAGTTTCTTTGATCTTACTATGTTATTGTATTACCTTTTCTCATTACAAATCTTCCGTTACTTGCATGTATAGCGCACTTCTATTACAAGTTATTGGTTTCTTTAATCCACACAAGCACGAGTTTCTTGGCCTAAATTGTATCTAAAGAATATAAGCAAACATACATAGGGGGATTTTATTATGATTATGTTGGATGAATCAACTAGAAATGAATTAGTCTAAAAATTTATCTTGAATGTTATATGATGACTATTCTTCTCGCAGTAATTCTTTATGACTTGCGTCTTCATTTCCTTGGGCATTACAATGTGAGTTTGTATTATTTTTTCCACGTTATCCATTATCCTGTGTTCTCTGCATTTTTTTTGGTTGCAACATTAGCTCCCTGCCTCAGATATTAAGTTGCTTAGTGATTAGCTTTTATGTTTTCAGCCAGTTCGGGCCTCAGTTGGTTGAAGAAGAAAGAATCAATTGAAGGAGTTTTGAGATATTTTGCAAGTGCCTTGATGGCATTTTTTTTCAAGCTTCTCTCTGCATTCCGAGTTTTTGGTTGTAGACAAAGCAGCAGGGTTGAGGCAATTTATCCTTCATACACAGTACAATCTCAAGCTGAAAGTAATCAAGTTGTTGAGGATGTTAAAGAAGACAAAGTTAATCCTTGTTTAGAGCGTATACGGAGGCTTGAGCAAATGTTTACAGAGCTCAAGAGCAAACATACTGAGATTCCTGTAGAGAAGGAGCGTGTGCTCATGGACTCTTGGGATAGAATCAAATCTATTGAGTTTGATCTTGATAAGACCAAGAGGGTAAGTTTCCGCTTCCTTTTTTGTTGATATTCAATTAATATGATCCTATCGTAGCAAACAAACATTTTTGAAAGTGTGGATTTTCTCAAACTCTTCCTTGAAGTAGAAAATCATCAAATTATTACCCACTTTTTTTTTTAATCAAATTATGACTCTTTTGTTGCATTGTCATGCAGTTTAGGGTTGGAAACCATTTTTAAATTTTGTGTTGAAAACCATTTTTAAAGTTTTTTTTTAAAACAGTTGTTTTTTAGCTTCTATTTAGTAAGTTAAGAAACAGATTAAAAAAAAAAGCGTGAGAATTCTCCCGCCCATTCATCACAATGATTCAAGAGCTACTTGAATTGTCTTTTGGAGTTCATGACCCTATAATTTCTCAGCCAAAATTGAAACTTGAGCTTTACGTGCTTTTATTTTTTATAAAGCTACACTACAAGAATTCTTATTGAACCTATGGAAAGAATCTTCATTTTGCAATGGCAGAACTATTTGCCACTTTTTTACGTGGTTAGCATTTCAAATTCTGAAAATTTTAAGCGATTTTAGCGCATTTATTTGTAATTTTTAAAAATTAGCAAGTGCGTGTGAGCTTAAGCTGCATAAACGAGGCCAAAGAGTTTCCTTTCAATTTTTTTTTTTTTTGGTATATAAATTATTTAAATGCCTTAGATGGTTTTATCACATAAAACGACGTTCTTCCGATAAACCAGTTAGAAAAGTAGAGGTATTAGATTTAACTTATGTTAAGAAAGGTAGAGATAGACCTAAAAAGACTTGGTTAGAAAATATTAGAAATTATCTTTCTTTATTAGATTTAAACGAGAATTTGACTTTTAACATGACGCAATGCAGTCATGTAGCCGACCCCACGTAGTGGGACAAAGGCTTGATGTTGTTATTGTTGTTGTTGTTGTTGTTGGGTGTATAAATCTGTTAAATGCCTCTTTTTTCAGGTTCTGAAGTCCACTGTAATCAAGCAAATGGAGATTGCTGAAACTTTTAGTGCTGTGCAGGAGTCCACCATTAGGGTAAGCCTTCTTAATGTAAATTACAAAATATTCTTCTATAAACAGGTCCGAATAGTATCTGAAAATAACTGTAACTGCTCACTTTGCATTTTAATTGATTGGCGTATTGTCCTTTTTGCAGAAAAGATCAAAATGTTGAGAAATTAGAGTATTGCTCCCCAAAACAAAAGAAAATCTAAACAAACAATCGTTTGGTTCCCATTTTTATGGGTGGATCAATCAAATTTAGGAGAGCAGCATCCACTTTTACATTGAAGATTTTTTATTGCTCCATCTGATCAAATGATGACATCGAAGGAGCTTTTATGTCAGTTTTTTCTTTTTTTCTGGGGGAGTTCGGCATTTTTGAAGAAAATAATAGCAGAAAGAAAAGTGGCTGTAAATGGTTGATCTTCATCAGAGCTGATTGAGAGAGACAGGCTTGCTTCACGTTGGAGAGCTGTAAATTTGAGGTCCTGCAGAACAGTTTTTCATGGAGCCAAGCATGATTGACATTATTCTCTTCTTTTTAATTCTTTTTTTTTAGCAGTTCATCATATAATTTTCACATGTAAAGAGAATGGTGGTAAAGATGAAGGGATAAATTTAGGTCTAGGAAAAAGTGGCAAAGGGAACTATAGAGGAGATTTTTGTTGCTACAAAATGAAGTTTTTTGACCCCCCCTTCATTAGTTTTGTGTGCGTTTTCTTCTTCGTTTTATATTTCAGCATTTATATAATTTTATTTTCATTAATTAAATCTTTTGATCCATGTAAAAAAACTTGAAACTATTTCGTTATTTTTTCATTCAATATGTAAAACTAAATCGACCAAGATAATTGATTGGGTTGATTTTGTTCGGTATGGTCTAATTAATTTTTTTTTTTAGTTGTAATATGAATGTTAATAGTATAATCTTCTTTGATTTTCTTTAATTTTTAAATTATTTAATACTAAAAATGCTAATTAAAATATCTGGATTAAGTCATTTCTTTCATCCATCTCATAAAATAATTTAGGTAACGTTTGTCTTCAACAATTTATTATTTTTCATAAAAAATTCTATAAATATCTTCATACTTTTTCAATATTTTACAATTAAAATAAAATCTTATTGATGAAAATTTAGTATAAATGCATTCAAATTTTAATATTTATCTCTAAAACAATTATAAATAATAATGTTTTATCTTATTAAATTTAGATTTGTTGCAGGCTAGAATATACGCTACGATGGAGTTAAAATTTTGTGTCTTAGCGTTGTACGGATATTTAGTTCACACGAAGAGAACACAATATATTTTTATGTCGAAAATCTTAGAAAGGGGAAAAATCACGGGGCTTGGACCAGTCTAAAATGATTTCACTAGTGTTTGTGTAGATTACAATGGGCTAACTCGTCCTTGAGGGCGATCAGATTACAAATGTCAATCATTTGGTTGAAATCTAGTGACAAATGGGAATGAAATTATAGTGTCACTTGGTGGACTGGCAGAAGTTCTATGCTACTTGAAAATTCGGGTGTCAGTTGGTAGTCTGGCATTGGTTTGGATGAACTTCAGCATCGGTCGGTGGTCCGGCGAAAATTCGGCGTTAGATGGTGGTCCGACGGAACTCCGGACGTCAAGTGATGGTTTGGCAGAACTTTGGATTTACTTCGGGTGTCAAGTGGTAGTCCAGTAGAACTCTGGATCTCAGATGGTGGTCCGGTATAACTTCGGGCCTTAAATTGTGGTATGGCGGAACTCTGGGCCTCGGGTGGTGGTCCGGCAGAGCTCAAGGCCTCAAGTGGTGGTCCGACGGAGGTGAGGGCCTCAAGTGGTGGTCCAGCGGAGGTGAGGGCCTCAAATGGTGGTTCGACAGAGATGAGGGCTTCAAGTAGCTAGTGGTCTAGGGGAGCTCAGGGCCTCAAGTGGTGGTCAGGCAAAAGTCTGGGCCTTAAGTGGTTTTATGACAAAGCTCAATGCCTCAAGTGGAGGTTTGGAGGAGGTGAGGGCCTCAAGTGGTGGTCCGTCGGAGGTGAGGGTCTCAAGTGGTGGTACGATGGAGGTGAGGGCCTCAAGTGGTGGTTCGACGGAGCTCAGGGCCTCAAGTGGTGGTTCGGCGGAGCTCAGGGCATCAAGTGGTTATCCGGTGGAGGTGAGGGCCTCAACTGGTGGTCCGGCGGAGCTCAGGGCCTTATGTGGTGGTCGGCGGAACAAC